TCCTGGCCACCATGAATGTGCCTGCCATGGCCGCAGAGGGGCCGGGAGGTGAGACTCTGACAACTGATGTACCTTTCATTAGTGCGGTCGTGTCCTAATGGATAGAGAGTCGGACTTGTAACCTGAAGGTCACGGGTTCGAGTCTCAGGGCCGGCAGGGATTGTAGGTGTGGGGAGTGAATATCCAGCACTCTCTTCCACCCTCAATACCACGACTGAGGTGAAACCCTTGAGCAAGGCACCATGTCGGGGAGACGCTGTGTGTTTCTAGGCGAAAGCAAAAGCACTTTATTTGGCCTTCCGAAAGTAGATGCATTTAGGAATCTTTAAGATTACTTACAACAGAACAGCAATGCATTTTATGGACGACCGTTTCGTGAACCTAGGAGAGGAGGTAATTCTGACTTTGCTATGACAATCTGGCGCTCACACTAAATCCCCAGTCTGTGACAGTGCTTCAGGTGTATTTGAGGCGAACGTATCCCATCATTAGGTTCAGGAACTGTTCAGGATGTGCCCTGAGATTTTGAGAAAGACTACATTAAATGAGATATTACATATATTTTGGTAGTAAATTGTAAAAAGTTACATGTTGTATTGGTGCAGATATGATTGTGGATTTTGTAAAAGATTTGCAACTGGTTTTTTTTTATCACTTAATTAGAAGCTCCACAGTTACTAAACTGCTGTCTGTTGCATAAGAACTACCAAACAGGCATTGAGAAGTTTACTTTAAAGTATTGAAAATCAAAATGTGCTGTTTAAAAATTGTTACTTGGTGTTTTGATTGTTTTTACAACACTGTTTTGTAAGTGTGTTCCATCAGGTTATCTGTTCTATGCACACTTGTAAGTCGACAAGTGGTCAAGTTCAGTGACTGCAAGTGTCGGTTTTGGGACAGGCTCTTTGTCAAGAAGAGTACTAAGTGAATTTCCCTTTTGTACATGTAATTTTCTATAAGGAGAAGGTGGTCTGCAAAGCCTCCTGGGTAATATGAGTCACAATCAACTCATGCAGCTGATTGGACCAACAGGACTGGGTGGACTTGGTGAGTTTTATTATTAGCTCTTTATTTGAAAGTAATATTCTACGTCCATGATTGTAAATGCTATTTGAACTGGGCCATATTGCAAATAAATAAATAAGTATATAAGTTTGAAGTCAGTAAGTTTTTTTTTTTTTTAAACTAAAGGTGCTCTGACTGGTCCAGGTCTGGCCGGTCTGTTGGGCAGTGGAGGTCCTGCTACCAGCAGCTCAACCTCGAGGTACATCTTTTGATTTCTCCATGCTTATTTCTGGCGCTGTGTTCACACATCTTACTGATTTTATTTATTATCCCTCTCCTGTATACACAGCTCCCGCAGCCAATCGGCAGCAGCCACTCCCTCCTCTGGATCGGCCGCCCGTCTCAGCTCCACCCAGGCACCCACCACACCCGTCACCCCTGCTGCTACCTCCACCAGCTCGCCCACGGTGACCCCCACCACCCCTGCTGCCCAGACTCCCTCCATGCCTGCAGGACCCCCCTCCAGCACTCAGCCCATCCAGCTGAGCGACCTCCAGAGCATCCTGGCCACCATGAATGTGCCTGCCATGGCCGCAGAGGGGCCGGGAGGTGAGACTCTGACAACTGATGTACCTTTCATTAGTGCGGTCGTGTCCTAATGGATAGAGAGTCGGACTTGTAACCTGAAGGTCACGGGTTCGAGTCTCAGGGCCGGCAGGGATTGTATGGGTGGGGAGTGAATATCCAGCACTCTCTTCCACCCTCAATACCACGACTGAGGTGAAACCCTTGAGCAAGGCACCGAACCCCCAACTGCTCCCCGGGCGCTGCAGCATTGGCTGCTCACTGCTCCGGGTGTGTGTGCGTGTTTGTTCACTACTCACTGCTGTGTGTGTGCACTTGGATGGGTTAAATGCAGAGCACAAATTCAAGTATGGGACAACATACTTGGCCACACGTCACGTCCTTTCCTTTCCTTTCCTTTGATGTGATCTTTGCCCAGTTTTCCCATTCTCTAATACGTTGTGCATTGCTCCTCTGTAGTGGACTTGGCGAGTGTGTTGACCCCTGATGTCATGGCTCCTATTCTGGCTAACTCTGAAGTGCAGCAGAGACTGCTGCCGTACCTGCCGTCAGGAGAGTCGCTCCCGCAGAGCGCCGAAGAGATCCAGAACACACTGACCTCTCCACAGTTCCAGCAGGTCACACTCATGCTCATAATGCACTCAAATGAACGGCTGTTCATTGCAGTACATGTGTTATTGATGATAACCGTATTATGTTCAAATTCTTGGTATAATTTTGTTGTGGGTCAAACTGAATCTAATGGGATTCAATATAATTTACCAAAATCAAACTATGAAAGAAAAAAAACAGAAAACCTTTAACCCTGTGGTGCTGTTCAGTCATTTTTCACCAAAATTATTTTTTTATAATATATTTATTTATTTTTTAAAAATAATTTCTTAAACCCATCAGAATGATATGAAACTTGGTAAAGGTTTTGGCACAACACAAAAAGTATGGACATTATTAAAGGTTAAATAGGCCAGATAAAAATAGTCGCATACTATTAGTGGTTAAAAATGACCCAATGGAAATGAATAGGAAGTGAATCACACAGCTCTAGTGGAAATGTTTGGTACTGCGCCAAAACAAAATCTTACAGAAAGCCGGTGTTTTGAGATATCAGCCTCAGATTTGGAACACAACTAGTTTAGATTTATGGCTTTGGTTTTCACACAGTTTTAAGGTAAAACACTTTTTGGAATAAATATATGTCATATAAAGTTATAAATAGTAAAAATATTTTTGTTCATTTTTCATAATAATAATAATACACTTTTTTTATTTTATTTCACTTTTTAAACTTTTTTCACTTCAGCAATAATCTGCCAAGTGTCTGCTTTAAAAATAAACTTTGGTCTGTGCTCTAAAGCATTCAAGATTTGCCTGTTAGATATGTAATTTTCATATTTGTGCTCCAAAAGTTCTTAACGGGTAATACATGGATCATAACCATTATATAAATATAATTAAGTACCATAAAATAAAAACATTATCGAAATAATATATAATACATTTATTTCACTGAAATAAAAAAACAAACATTTAAGTCATTTTTGATTTCCATGCGAGTAGCACCAAAGTGTTAGGAATTGCACCTTAAAGGTTCACCCAAAAATGTAAATTGTCATCAATCACTCACCCTCATGTCGTTCCAAACCTGTATGAATTTCTTTCTTATGTTGAACACAAAAGAAGATATTTTGAAGAACCAAACAGTTGTTGGTCCCCACTGACTTCCATAGAAGGGAAAGAAATACTATGGAAGTCAGTGGGGACCAACAACTGTTTGGTTCTTCAGAATATCTTCTTTTGTGTTCAACATAAGAAAGAAATTCATACAGGTTTGGAACAACATGAGGCATAATAACAAAATGTTAATTTTTGGGTGAACAATTCCCTTTAATGCTGGTTGCCACCCATCATAAAATGGGAATAAGTTAAAGATGAATTATAAAAAGATCCCGTCCTTATTATGATTGCATGAGCTGTATTTGAAGCGGTTCTAAAAGACCATTCTGCTAAATGTTGGCTGAAAACATTGCTTCGCAGAAGAAGAAGAATTTGTCATCAATGAATTGGTATTTTGTTTATTTTATGAAATCGTACCAGGTATATGTAGTGATTCACAGAAGCTATTTGTGGGAATCTCTATAAATGTTTGTCTTGGGCTTGTCCAAATATTCTGCTTTTATGTAAACATGCTGTGTGTCGGTGTCTGTGCAGGCGATGAGTATGTTCAGCAGTGCTCTGGCCTCTGGGCAGCTCGGCCCGCTCATGAACCAGTTTGGTCTGCCCTCTGAAGCAGTGGACGCAGCTAATAAAGGAGGTGAGATGTGCGTCATGTCGATCAGCAACATAAAATCTGAATTCAAAATTTATATGAACTTATAAGAAAAAGGAAATCGTACCAGGTATATGTAGTGATTCACAGAAGCTATTTGTGGGAATCTCTATAAATGTTTGTCTTGGGCTTGTCCAAATATTCTGCTTTTATGTAAACATGCTGTGTGTCGGTGTCTGTGCAGGCGATGAGTATGTTCAGCAGTGCTCTGGCCTCTGGGCAGCTCGGCCCGCTCATGAACCAGTTTGGTCTGCCCTCTGAAGCAGTGGATGCAGCTAATAAAGGAGGTGAGATGTGCGTCATGTCGATCAGCAACATAAAATCTGAATTAAAAATTTATATGAACTTATAAGAAAAAGTGCATATCCTGAATTCAGTTTTCACTATTAGTAATAACTACTTCATGTTTGCTACCCACAAGCACTCATTTGCTTTGTCTTGGTATTCAGATGTGGAAGCGTTTGCCAAGGCCATGGAGGGCAGTGATAGCAAGACAGATGACGGCGATTCCAAAGACAAGAAAGATGATGACGAGGACATGAGCTTGGATTAGAACAACCTTCTGAACACAGTCATCTCTCTGAAGTGTTAGGCTCATGCTAGTCTGGGTTGTTTGCCTGTACTCATATTGATTCACGCATGTGTTTTGTATGTCCACAGCTACACTATTAAACAACTGACTCTGTAATTCCAGCTTGTGCATGAAGTTGATCAACATGAAATCAAAGTGACAAAACATAAAGGAAATGTTTATTGGCAATAAAAATACAGCTGAGGGAATCTGACAAAATATCAAAAGTGACAAAAATAACATTTCTTGAGTTTAACTCCAGTGATTTTACATAATACACAATGAATCCCTATGGCACATGGGTAATCCACATTCAATTGCCCTCCAGTGTTTTTATACAACTAAATATTCCCATAAAACCCATTTAATGGTCATATGATTGTATCAATGTACTAATTAAACCTGGAACAATATGAATCCAGTGCCAATCCATCTCTATATTCCTCTGGTCCCTGCCGTTCTGAACGTAATAGTTTATCAGTGGCGTATTGGCACTTACAGTGCTTTTTAATGAATCTACATACACAAGTGTCATGAAAGTAAACATAAATATCAGTTTAAATTAAACGCTAAGCAAACCCACCACCTGCTGATTTGATAGTGTGAGTGTAGAGTATGTAGGATTAATGTAGCTGTGGTCTATAATGCAGGGCAGCCCTGAGTCCCCACAGATCCAGACACTGACAGGGGTTTGGACAGCATGACAGGCCTGTGGTTCAGTATGGCTTTCCTCACACATCCGTGGAAAGAGAGGACGGTTGACGGGAGACCTGGCACGGCTATGGTATCTGCACACAAGAGGACAACAGGCTTATGTCAATATTGAGCATCGCACCTCATTTATTTCAATGTAAGATTTTGTTCATTTAGCTTTAAAAATTTGACTTGACAGGAATTGTAAATATTGATTTGGTAGTGTTCAGATTTCATACCTGGCACGCCACCCAGATAAACAGTCTCTTTGCCCCCATTTGATCTGCTCGGTTTGGGACCCACTCCATGTTCACTCGCCGCATCCACGTGTAGCTGGATGACATTGCTCTTCTTCACAACTAAAATCACAAAAATGCAAGTGTCAAATACATTGACGGAGTATCTTTATATTTTAACTAGGCTTGCCAGTCGATTAAAACATTTAATCTAATTAATTACATGGTGTGGCGATTAATTAATCTAATTAATTGCTAAATAAATTTGGCTGTGAAAATACCCACAAAAGATTATTTCAAGCTATTGTGTTATATGAGAAAGAATCAAGTAAACATTACAAATAGTAACTTTAGAAAAAAATATTTTATTTGATTCAACATAAAATTTATTACACAAACGTTTAGGCTACAACGGTCGGCATGGGCATTTGAATCATTGATTCACACGATTCGTTCAAAACGCGGATTCATTCAGAAACTGAAAATGTTGCTCACAGATGCACAACGGTTCTGCTGTGGCTTTATGGGTAATATTTTTGTTGGCAAAATTGAGCAAAAAGACACAATATTGTGTTTAAAATTAAACACAATATTAACTTCTTATTTACTGAACTGATGTATAAAATCACATTTGCACTTGTGATATTCGGACATAAACAGCACTCGTCTGATATTGCTTTCGCTACTCATGTGATATTGTTTATCATATGATATAAATATGAGACAAAAACTCATACAGGGGCATTTATTTGCCACAATATCTTGAATTTTAGGGCATAACTGCCAACGTGACCACCTGCTTGCACAGGGAGCGTGCTGGGGACTATTTTCAGGCGCCTATTTTCCTAGCCATATCGGCCTTTTCATTTTCCGTCGGTCTTAGTACACGATGTTACTACAGAAGAGTCAAGGTTTAAATAGGAAAAATATCGAAACTCTTTGGTCATTTTTGAGCGAGATGCTAACGGTCTAATCAGATTCAATGATCTATGCTAAGCTACAGCTAAAAGTGCTACTGCCAGACCCAGAGGTCGGCTGAATGGATTCGAAAACGGTAAAACTCAACTGTTTAACTCTAGGGGAGTTGGAAAATGAGCCTATTTTCAAAAATAGTGGAGTGTTCCTTTTAACTACGTTAAAATATTTGAATTGCGTTATTTTTAACTCATTAATTAACGGGTTAAACTGAGAGCCAAGTAAAGTTACTAATGCTAATAATGATATTAAATTCAAATGTCTTTGGTTTCCAAATAAAAAAAATAAAGACCACAAGTGTCAAATGCAGTGTGATTGTTTGTGTTTTTAAAGACTCGCCTGCAATAGTGTGCCAATCTCCATCACAGAGAGACTCTTCTGGTGTGAGACTGACTGAAAACTCTCCACTGCCGCTGTTCACCAACACAGTCACCTGCACAGAACAAACAGACACTTCAAACTGGTGTATGGCCCCGTCTCACTGACCTTCAGGCAGCACCACCAACCCTAAATGACTTCCCTGCCCGCATCTGTTGAGTTATTGCATGTGTATGTGTGAGTGCACGGCTGTGTCACCTGGCCCTGGTTCAGATAGAGACTCAGCTGTCGAGTTTTCTTGGCTCCAGCGTGCAGCAGAAGTCCAGAGTCCGAAACCAGATGCACCTCCAGCTGGATCTCGAGGTCCCGGGCCAACACCGGCGATTTGTCTAGCATGACAGAGAGCCACAATAAACAAAGTGTGCTGTACACCATCTTTCTGAATTCAGTCTGAAGCGTGTTTGATTGATTGGCTCACCGATGGCCAGATATCCTCCCTGACTGGAGAAGTAAACCCCGGGCTGGAGGGGCTGCTGGTAGCAGGGTGTCACTCCCACGCTGTGAGAGGGGCTCTGTGACAGCACCTCGTTCAGATTCAGATCCCGCACACAGCCAACGAAACCAGCCTGAGAGATAGGAACACAAAGAAAGACAGAAAAGTCAACGTCACAAAGATATATCTCTGTGATTATGTTCAGATAGGTACCATCCAAAACAGTGAGCTGCCCACCAAAACAGCTTTTTAGGGTATCATGAGTGCACTCCTGAACTGAAGGCTGCTCCAAACTTTATTATCATTATCATTAAATATATCCTCAATGGATAAGCCAATTCCAAAATGCATTGCATTGAATTCAGTGGAAAAAATCGTGACCTATTAATATTCAAAATAAAACTCGACTTCTTGAAGTTCCATGCATATAATATTATTAAAATATCCACTTTATTATTAAAAAAATAATATAATATTAATAAAAATAAACTATTTATTCTTCTGGGTCACTGGAATACGATTTCATACTAGCAAAATAATGTAATATTAAAACAATATACTATTCAAAATAAAAATCATGCTTACAGTATATTACAATAATATGATTAAATGTTAACAAAATTATACAATATTAAACAATATAATATTCAAAATAAACATTTACGCGTTTGTACTAAAATAATGATTATTTTAAATTTTTTATTTAGCAATAAAAATAGTTCAAGCTAATAAAAAAAGACTGTTATTTAACATTTCTGTGTGTGCTTATTAGAATATTGCATTATTAGATTAGCAACACACTAACATCAAACTCTATTGGAATCCATTGCGAATTGAGTCTCTTATTTAATAAAATTGTATAAAAGTTTGTAAAATAAAACATGGTGGATCAAGACCTGTATTTCAAATCAAATAAAAAATAGCAAAAAAAAATAGTTCAATGTAATTAAAAAGCATTTATTTATCATTTTTCATGCTAACATCAAATTCCTATTAAAATACTATGATTATTTAGTAAATAAAAATAAAATATATAATTATAATAAAAATATATGTGTATTTGTGTGTGCTCTTATTGAAATAAAATATGATTATTTTGATCCAAGTAAAATTAAATAAAACATGGTGGAAGGAGACCTGCATTTTAATGAAAATGAAAAAAATGCAACAGTCAATCTTATCCAACATTTGTGCATACTTGTTAATATCAGCCTCTTGTTCTCTTATTGCCCACGTAGAGCATTTCATTTCAGCCACTATATAAGCAGTAGACAACAAGGCAGTTCACTCGTTTTGAACAGAGTATGTATAAGACAGTGTTCACCATAGCTGCGCTGTGGTCAGAGGGAAGTCCACCGATATAGAGAGGAGCACCAAAAACAGTCTTCCCTCCGCCCGTCACCCTCTTGTTCTGGGTGTGGATTCCATCCACTGTCAGAGACGCCCTGTCAGCCTCCACTCTCACAAACACCTGCACCAGTTCATTGAGAAAATAAGAGATCTATAAAAAAAAAAATCACAAATATATGTCTAAAATCATGACTCATCCACATGCGAACCGTGTGCCACAGGCCATCGTTGTATTTGTTTTTGCTGCGTATGCTGGTCTTCCTCTTTCCACCGTTGACCGTCAGCATCAGATGGCCATCGAACATAGAGAGCGTCATGGTCCTCTGGCCTTTCCCTCCCGCCACGTGGAAAATCAGTCCACTCGAAGAGTTCACACGCACACTGACAGAGATGTGCGGCCTGCAGATGGAGTTTAACACAGGCGTGTGATTTTGGCATTTTTGGTCAATATTACGGACTTTTTGTTTTGGTCAGTACTGGACATATTATAATGATTTTCATGCTAAATTCTCATATTTTTACATTTAGATGACCTTTCTGTCATCTAACACTCACTTAAAAGTTTAATTGTTAGAAACACCAATAATTTAAGAACAATGTTAAATGTAATCGCAAAATGAATATAAATTTCATACTGTACAGTATAATGTTGTGATGCCTAATAAAGCATTTAAAACTACTGAACTACATGTAATTGCTTTACAGTGTTTTATTACTGTTTGTTTTTATACTCACGCCTTGCTAAATGCTTGAGGCAGCGAATCAAATCTCAGATGACTGTGGGAGGAGCCACTGAAATGATGAGCGTCGACTTCCTGGATGGACATCTCACCCTGACAGGAGTCACGTGCCATTCGACTTCTCGAACTTCCATGAGGCTTATTCTGTTTATTCACAAACAGACGCACATTTCATGTGCTCTTATTAAAAAAATAAGATTATCTATCATTAAGAAAATAATATATTATTAAAAAGAAACGGTTTATGCGTTAATGGAAAATGATTTCATACTAGCAAAATAATATAATATTAAAAATAAAATAAATATAATTTTTTTTGTCAATCCTCCCTATACGCAAAATACGCAAGCTGCGTAGGGCCCCCGAAACACCAGGGGGCCCCTTTGCTCTCAAAGATGATTTAATTTTAGTTTCGTTTTTGAATTTGGCCAGCGGTTATGAAAACATGAATGATTATTTCTTTCAATGCGGTGCGCTGTCACCCTTTCTACGTAAAAATTATGTAAAAATGTCGTACAGTCTTGCTCCAGACTAAAAAAACTAGAAAGCGTACCGAGCTGCGGAAGCTTTTCATTCATTCGTTCATAGCCACTCATACCCCACTCCACCAAAATAAAATAAAATAAAATAATTTCTACATTTTTAAAAATAGTACCTTTGGATTCTTTCGCCGTGGTGAATCCAGTATTTCCAGTGGGACTGAAGAGGAGGGGCAAACAAATGTGTATTCGTGTCCCTCTTGAGCTTTTTTCATATCTTCTACAGTCTGGGGTTCATTATTTCTAAGAACACAATGTAGAAATTATAAAAGCTGATCTAATTGTAACTTACATAAAGCTTATACATTCAGGTATAAGATTTATTCGATCATTCATTAGCATTTTCCTCCATGAATCTATTTTCAACACTCTCTTCAGTGCATCACACACCTCTTCATGAAGAAGTTACTGACGCAGCCGATGAGGTTGGTGAGGCCGTCTGACTCAGGTGTGCCGCCCACGTAAGAAAGGTCAGATTGCAGCGCCGTCCTGCTGTCAGCCGCACTGACATTTACTCCTTGCTTCTCAAGAACATCATCTATATAAACAAGTAACCTAAACAAAGGCAGAAATAGTCACAACCCTATACACAAACACAATTTTATTGTATATTAATATTAAACACAGAGTGGCATACCCATCTCCAATGCGGTAAAATGCAACATAGTGACTGTTGTCATCGTTGTATGTCTTCTGAGACCTGACTCCATTTTTTTCAGTACTGACTACTACATGGCCGCTGTCTAATACCACCTGACACCTGTCACTCTGAGGGGACGAAAACAAACACAAAATTTGACAATGGATGCAAGTGTCTTTAGTAGGAATCACTAAAATACATCATTTAAAATTGACATTGTATGTTACATACTCAAAATATGGTTTGATATGTCAAACTGTAATTTGTACCTGGCCTTGGCGGTAAAACATGAGCCCGGTTTGCTGCTCAGTTCTGAAGCCGATGCCAGCATAGAAGTTGTCTGGATTCAGTACATCGTCCATTTTCAAGCCCAGGTAACCTTCTCCAGTGAAATGAGCCTCACGAGTAAACTGACACACAACACAAACACACATGAACGTGTCTTAATGCAGCAGATGTCATATGTGCTGGAAAACTGGGGTTGGGAATCATAAGGCATTTACAGATTCTGCTTCTAATTCTGATTCCGATTCGGAGTGATTTCGGTATCAAGTCTCTTGTCAAGTTTCCTTTAATAACTCAGTTGTTGTTGCACCTTGTTTAACTGGGGTCATTTTAGCATTTTTACAGTAATAAAAAATAAATGTGTTCCTTTGCTTTGTTACATATTTGATCAAAGTGTTAAGACACGTAATATTGACATGGCCTAATTAATATTCCTAAGCTTCGGTATACTTAAATGTCATTTGTTGAAAAGAAATTTGGTATAGTGTTTGCAAAAATTCAGACATCCGTGTTGCTGGGTGCGGAGCATTTAAATATACAGTGGTGTGAAAAAGTGTTGGCCCCCTTCCTGATTTCTTAAACATTAAAGTGTGACAAACATGCAAAAAAATAAGAAATCAGGAAGGGGGCCAACACTTTTTCACACCACTGTAAAATATGGGTACTACTTTAGATTATTAGGGAACACTATTCGTTACTAACTAGTTGCTTATAAGCATGCATATTACTAGCATAATATTGGCTGTTTATTAGTACTACTTATAAAGCACACTTTAATGCCTTATTCTGCATGACCATATTCTAGACCCCTTACCCAATACCTAAACATAACTACTACAACAACTGCCTTACTATGAATACGCAGTAATTAGGAGGAAAAACTCTTAATTAATTGTAAATATGTGTTCACTAATCCAAAATATGTGATGGACTAAGTGAAGAAATGAACTGGAAATGATGTTTACATCAAAGTAGGTGGTCAAACCCAACTTCTGAATCATTATCTTGGACCAACGGCAGTTAGAAAGCGTTTAACAGCCAGTGTGAAGTTTTCCTACGTTTTCAAACCAACAAAATAAACTCAATAACACCTTTATATTGGCTGGATTGGAGTACGGGTTACTTCACACCCCAGATTTCGGAGGCCTCTTTTTTCACAATTAACTGAGTGAATGCAAGTGTGTTCCCTCATCGCAAAAGAACACAGATGTTCCAGAAACATGAGCAGAACTGAATGTAGATTCCCAACCCTACTGAAACAAGTATGATGATGCTCACCAGCAGGTCATCTGGACAGCCATAGCTGATCCCTGCACTCTTCATGGTCTTCATTTGAACGAAGCTTCTCATGGCCTTAATGGTCCTGAGGCAGCCCTTTATGGAGCCGCGCTTACCAAACACACTCTTTAAACTGCAATGACATGCACAGAGAGTTAATTACACACAGCGGGGATCACCAGCCTGTGTACAAGTGGATCTCTGTGGAAATATCTGCATTGTCACCTCTCGGGCATCTGATCATCTGGCACTCCACCCAGGAAATATCGTCCCGTGAAGCTGAGCTCTTTGCTGGAAAGCGTGTAGACCTTCTGACGATCTAGCCTCACTAGCATTTCATTTTTCGAAAGTTGAAAGATAACATCCAACTGAAAACAACAAACACAAAACATACAACTTACAGAGATGAGCAGACAGGCAGGAAAACACTGGAATAAACCGAGGGTTTTACTCACAAATTTCGCCTGCGCATTACTGATTTTAATTTTGGACTCTTGTTGTGGGTCAGTTAAGTTGGACACCTGTCCATCAAGGTTATGGAGGACTTTCAGAAGACCTCCTTGCACAGCTATGCACACATACTTATCCTGAGAAGGGAAAAGAAAGACATTAACACATGATAACACGCGTCAAACAATCACAAATCTGAAGTTCTGCAGTCCACGTCTCACCTGTCTTTGGAACAACAGGAGAATGCCGTTTTGTGAGATGAGTTTGACATGCTGCTCAAACACACGGTCGTCCTTCAGAGTTTCGAACAAAACCTCAACATAGCCCGAACCATCAAAATACACTCCGTCAACTCCCCACTCGGGCGTATTTGCTGGCCTCCTCCTGTTTAAACACATGAAGCGATTTTACAAGGAACGCACTTTCGCAAAGAGGTTAACACAGATTATATGATTTAATAAATAATAAATTAAACCCCTCTGACCGTGAACAAGGGAGGTCAGTTGTGGTGTTCATTTGGAAGGTTTGCTCGAAGTTATAGAGGCTGATTAGTTCTTCATTTAGACTTAATAACTCCAGGCAGCCCTTGAAGAAGTTAGGAGATGTCATGTTCAGATCCACTGGAGGCTGTGTGTTTTTGAGAAAGAGAAAGACATTGTGACATTTTTTGGAAGATTCACCAATATTAAAATGGATGACAAAAAATAGCTGATAATTATTTTAATGTTATCGCAGATAATCAATAAATGTCTGATATTACAATTCTATACCAGCTGACTTTTGGTCACCTTTGGCTTGCTCAGTTGGGTTTGAAAGACAATTAAAATTGAGTAATATTATTGATATGACTGCACTGACACCATTGGATGAAAACAAAACTTGAACTGAACTGAGCTGGATAATGACACTATTTATGACTGTAAACCTGCTTTAATTTAATCAAATTTTTTCATAATTGATGCAACCCTGACAATGCTATTGAACTGAATTGAATCAACACTGAACTGACTTGAGCTGAATGATCACACTATTGGCTTCTGTAGAGCTGAAACTGAATTACTGTAGTTTTACAAATGAGGAATTGTGCAACATTACTTTTCTATTTGTTACTGTGAAGCTGCTTTGAAACAATCTGTTTGTATAATGTGATATATGTGACTGGACTTCTTAAATTATTAGTGCTTTTAAAGATCAACTTTAAACGAGTGTGAGATGATGACAAAGGTAATCACAATGTAAGCATTAAATCCAAAGTTAACCAATGGCAATACATTTAAAAAAATCTAAGTGTTATATTATAATGTTAAGTCTCTTATGCTTATCACAGCTGCATTTATTTGTTCATAAATACAGTAAAAACACTAATATTGTGAAATATTATTTTAATTTAAAATAACTATTTTCTATTTAAATATATATTTTAAAATGTAATTTATTCCTGTGATGGCAAAGCTGAATTTTCAGCATCATTACTCCAGTCTTCAGTGTCACATGATCCTTCAGTAATCATTGTAATATTCTGATTTGTTGCTCAAGAAACATTTCTTATTATTTTTGATGTTGAAAACAGTTGTGCTGCTTAATAGTTTTGTTTCAGGATTCTTTAATGAATAGAAAGGATTTATTTGCAAATATTTGTAATTATAAAAACATCTTTACTGTCACTTTTGATGTATTTAACGCACCCTTGCAGAATACAAGAGTTGTTAGGGTGGTCTAGGTGGTTAGTAGGGTGTTTGCTTATTGGCTCAAGTCAAAAGTGCCCACTCCTAAGTGTTTATTATATTCTGCTCCACAGATATGGGTTTTGCTTTACTCACAGTGAATGTGCTGGGATAAGATCCGACATAAAACACAGTCTCCTCAGCTGGTAAATTGAGCAGGCCTTTTCCTTCTCTTGCCTCCATGCTTTGTTTAACTATTTTTGTTTCTTCTGAGTCTGTGGACATTGCCATCTGACCATACTGTAGAGTCCTGCACACAAATACAGTAGAAGTGCAGAGTAAATACAGCTAGAATATAATTTCAGTGAAGTCTAAGCTCAACAGATACATGTCGGTAATGATGGTGTGCACGTTTCCTACCTCTCCAGGACGATTTTGTTGAAGTAATCCTTATTCACGTCCTCAGTCATTAGCACCTGCGCTGTATCTTCTCCCACATTGAAGTACCAGCGCAGCTTTGATCCTTCCAGTGTCATTGCCATATAATCTATTTTGGACTACAACACACATACAGCACAGACACGTGTTTATATTCACACATACTGTATATAATTAATCACGCGCAACTCAAAACAGCTTAATATAATGCATGACATGCAACATATAATGGTACAAATCACTGTTAGGCTGAGGAGGTTGGCTTACATCTTTGTTTCCAAAGTAGAGGACAAACTGGGGTTTGGCGGTGTCAGTTTGGCGTAGTGTACGTGTGGCACGTGGTAGCTTGATGTACATGTGTAGCGATGAATAGGCTGCCAGGTCGGCCACATTACTGGGCGTCCTCACTTGTACTCCTGAGTTACCATTAAACTGCATCGACACGCTCACCTGAAGAACAGACAGTCGAGTCACTGCCTGTAGCACTGGGGAAAAACTGGGGATACTTTGAGACTTCTGAAGAGCTGTACCTTGTTGGCAGCATTGCGAGCCTGTTCAATGAGCTGGCGGATTCTCTGGATGCTGTCGGAGATGTTGGACGGCTGAAATGAGGTGTTCTGCAGACGATCCAACTTCTTCATCAGCTGAGGAAGAGTGTCGCTCAGCGCCGCCACTGCAGGAACACAGAAACACATTGGAATTGATGCGAAAGGCAAGTCAAGATCACTCACGCTCACTCAGGAGAGCTTCCTCACACGCACCTGACGTATTGGCATCATTGAGGGCTTTGTTGATATCGTCGCTGGTGGCGTTGGAGTCTCCGTACTGCTTCTGCCATTCCTCCAGCTGCTTCTGAATTGGAGCCAGCGCGTTGCTAACATTAGCCACCGTGTTGTTAGCCTGCTCCACTGCACTCTTAGCTGCGACGATGTCTTTTGCAATGTCTTCTGTATCATTTTAACACATTTGAATGACAATGTTTAGGTCATGGTTTTTATTCAATTAAGCTTGACAGACAAAATATATAACAGCGTTTAAAAGTTTGCAGGCAGTAAAATACTTTCATTCAGCAAGGATGCATTAAAATGATAAAAAAGTGACAGTTAATGCATTTATAAGGTAGCAATTTCTATTTCAAATAAATGATGTTCTTTTGAACTTTCTATGCATCAAAGAATCCTGAAAAAAATCGATTTAAATCTCTACAAAAATGTTAAGCAGTGCAACTGTTTTAAAAATTCATTTTAATAAGAAATGTTTCTTGAGCAGCAAATCAGCATATTAGAATGATTTCTGAAGGATCTTGTGACACTGATGACTGGAGTAATGATGAGCATCACAGGAATAAATTACATTTTAAAACATTAAAATAGAAAACAGTTATTTTAAATTATATTATTTCACAATATTAAATTTTTTTACTGTATTTTCAATTAAATAAATGATGAGCATAAGATAATTCTTTCCAAAATATTTAAAAAATCTTACCAACCCCAAACTTTTAAACGGTAGTGCATTTATTTGCAAGTTAGATGGCTATTAGTTAGATCACAATGAACACAATGAAGACTAAGGACTTTGAGCTCTGACCTCGACTGGCATTGAGGCTATTCTGAACGTTCTTTAGGTCTTGGAGCATCTTCTCCTTTTTCTTCTCAGCATCCTGCAAACTTTTCTGTATTGAGTCCACACGTGGCTTTAGACCTGCCAAAGATATAGTAATGGCCTTCATTAGACCGAGGTTCACAACAACAAAGATGTAGGCCTACCTTAAAAGAAAAAGTTGCTGTCCTTACTTTGACTGCTGTTATTCAGTTCCTCTGCTTCCTTCACAAGCTCATTACTCTGATTCTTCAGTGCAGCAGCTTGTAGGGGCAGGTCTTTGTCCTTTATGTTCTAGATCAATAAACTTGTGTCACTTACTCATGTTTTCAGAGCAATTAAGATGCATTGATGTGCATGCATTGACTGTACCTCCAGAGCCTCAGTAGCAGCTTCGCTGGCTTTCTTAGCTGCAGTCTCGGCTTCCAGCACGCTGTTTATAATGTCAGTGTATGCGCCAGATGCGTTCAGAGCACGCTGTATGAAACCGTCTCGATTGGAGCCAGATATTAGACTGCACAACAACAAACACAAGGCCACAGTTTTACATCTAAATATACATTCATCATATTAGAGGAGGTCATAATAGAGAGTACAAGAATGTGAACTATATAGTCAAGCTGACATATTGATTAATATTCATGAATTTTAAGATTATCGTATCAGCCAATAGCTGTTTCTTCTTGGCTGATTAACAGACATAGCAGTTTCCTCAGGTCTGTCTCAAAATTTACCTGTCGATCGATAAAGAATGCAATGCTTTTTTCAATTTTTCAACTTCAAAATAAATTGTTCTTTTTTTCTTTCCATGGTTATTTGTATGTTATTTTAAAATTGCCTTTATTTTTGTTTGTGTAAAGCAATTTTGAATTATCATTGTATATGAAATGTGTTAAATATACAAAATTGCTTTGCTAATTGCATTTTATTGTGTCCAATAATAAAATATTTGTTCAGTTCAGCAAGTTTGTGGACCCTTTATGTGCTGCCCTTTAATTATGTAGGCTGAAATATACATCAGTCACCCTGCTAGCATCTAGCATCAGAATTGCTCATTACAAACCAATACAAGTCGACTACTACAAAATAGTCACACACCTGGAAAGATTATTGGCGAGCTGGTCCAGCATTTCAGCGTGTTTCTCTGCAGCTTCTACCAGGGGAATTTTATTGGCGGAGGGAGCGTATTTCTGAACCTTCTCAGCTAGAGGCTGCCTCGCTCCATCCAACTGAGCAGCCAGACGCTCATAGTCCTGATAGAGACGACACAGCGTGGATGAGTACAAGAATGAGCTCAGTGAGGTTCATTTATAATACACAGAAATGCTATATTTGAATCTGCATACACAAGCGTACTGTTCCTGTAAATATGTACCTCTTTGGAGTCCTGGAGCATGGAGAGGAGGTCGTTGACCTGCGTCACATCATCCTCTGCCATCTGAAGCTGGTTCTCCACCTCCTTCTGCTTCTTCAGCAGGTTATTTACTGTATTCTAGAAAAACACAACAGAGAAATTCATTTATTCATATTGCAATTCCATTAAATTCCTCTTCCAATTCAAATCCCAATTGAACTTCTTTTGATGTGTGGCCAGTTGAACTCAAATTCCAACTCTCAAAGTTGATATTTTCCCCAATCCTGTGTATGTGCATGTGTTTGTATAAATACCTGCAACTCCTCCATGCGTTTCTCATTAATATTGTTGGCCTCTACGGCGTTTGCTGTGTTTTTGACAGCCTCATTCATAGCGTCTCTCAGGTCCATCAGCTGCTGATTGAACTGGTTGAGTTTGTTTCTGATGTTCTCTGCCACAGCCTCATTATTTAGTGTCCGGTTTGCAATCTCATTTTTCACACGATCTACCACTATAGAGAGACAACAACCGTGAAGGACAATGTCTACAATCTTAAAACAGAAAAAAAAACATGCAGCACTTATAAATGGCAATACAAAAGTGCTGGCTTTTTATTTTTATTTGTTCTAGATTTAAATTAAATTTATGCATTTATCCAAAGCGACTTACAGTGCATTCAGGCTATACATTTTTTACCAGTATGTGTGCTCCCTGGGAATTTAACCCATGACCTGCTAACGCAATGCTCTACCACTGAGCCACAGGAACATAGATTTTTGTTCCTTTTAGTATAATGTATTATAACTGGGGATATATTTATTTGTGAGATCATATAATGCATTATAATGTGCATTACAAAGCCAAGTTAATGCATTAAAAATACTTTTATAATATAGTACAGTATAAAGTACAGTATAAAGGCTTCAATCTAACTTTTTCAAAGCAAAATCAAGTATTTATATAGGGTTATAAGCTTAGAAAGGTTGATCAAAAATGATCAGTTACATGCATGACAGTCCCATGCTGTTACAGAATAAATTGAAAAAGCCTGAGGTTGGTAAACATTTCTTATCCATCCTGTCACTCACACTTGTTGGCCTGGTCCAGCTCACTTTCTGCTAGTTTCTTCTGGAAGTCGAAGCCCCTGAAGCGCATGTCTCTGAGCATGGACTCCACCTCTGCTATTTTTCGAGCCAGTTCCTTCTCATCGATCACCTTGGTCTCGTTTTGCGCTGTCCGGTTCACCTGCAGTATAGTATCTGAGCAGATGCAGAAATGTTGTCAGTCGAATGTGCGTGAATGGGTAAATGTAATAAGATACAAGTTTTTTTTCTTTATTACACTCGTACCTTGCACATCCCCCATGATGCCTTTGATGAATCCAAGCAGGTCTTGTGCTCTAGTGTGTGTGGAGTTAGTGTTGTCCTCTAAAGCATCGCCTTTCTTTTGTGTGACTGAGGCCTAAAACACAGACACACAAAAGCAAATTATGGTCAAATGGTCCTTTTTACACATTGATGGCTTGAAAACAGCAAAAAATGGATTTTTAATCAGAATGAGTTCATCTGATGATATTTCCTCATACCTTCTCCTCTAACTCTTTAATATCCAAGTCAATGATTTGCAGCTCTCCCTCCAGCATACTGGCCTGGTTCCTGCTCTTGTCCAGAGTGCTGTTGTAGTTATTTATGGCATTCTGGGGCATAAAGATATAGTTACAATTATAATACTACACATAACTAAAAGTTAAAGTGAGGCGAATAGTAAAATCTAAAAGTCCTAATACAGAGTCAGAGAGTGTTTGTGTGTGTGAGAGAGAGAGACTCACAGCAATGTCCTGAATGGACGCATTGAGGTGGTTTAGTTGAGCCCAGGCGATTGAGCTGGCATTGAGGCTGCTCAGCTGATGGGCAATGGACTGATAACGTTCGTTTACCTTGTCCAGATCCTCCAGCAGCACTATCACACAGCTGTCACAGACTAAAAACAGAATGCACAACATCATCACCTGATGTATGAAATGAACTGCAACCCACAAAGCATATTGTTCACTTTACCTTTGTATTGACAGAGCGAATGAATGAATTAAGTGAGTGAATTAATTAGTGACTCAATTAATCATTCAGTCATTCATAAGTCATTGAGTGAGCGTATATATACTACCATTCAAAAATTTGGTGTTGGTAAAACGTAATGTTGTTGAACATTATTTTTGTTTCTGAGCATTCTCTTATGCTTACCAAGGCTGCATTTATTTGATCCACAACATCATCACCTGATGTATGAAATGAACTGCAACCCACAAAGCATATTGTTCACTTTACCTTTGTATTGACAGAGCGAATGAATGAATTAAGTGAGTGAATTAATTAGTGACTCAATTAATCATTCAGTCATTCATTGTCATTGAGTGAGTGTATATTGAGTCATTGAGTGAGTGTATATATACTACCATTCAAAAATTTGGTGTTGGTAAAACGTAATGTTGTTGAACATTATTTTTGTTTCTGAGCATTCTCTTATGTTTACCAAGGCTGCATTTATTTGATCAAAAATATTGTGATATCGTGAAACATTACTTCAATTTAAAATAGCTGTTTTCTTTGAATATGTTTTCAAATGTGATTTCTTTCTGTAATGTAAAGCTGAATTTTCAGCATCATTACTCCAGTCTTCAGTGTCACAAGATCCTTCAGAAATCATTCTAATATGCTGATTTGCTGCTCAAGAAACATTCCTTTATTTCTTATTATCATCAATGTTGAAAAAAATTGTGCTGCTGAAAATTTTTTATGGATTTTTCGATGAAAAAGTTCAAAAGAATAGAATTAATTTGAAATAGAAATCTTTTGTAACATTAGAAAAGTCTTTACTGTCACAGTTTTGATCAATTTAATGCATCCTTAATGAATAAAAGTATTTATTTCTTTCAGACAAAAAAAAAAAAACTGACCCCAAACATTTGAACAGTAGTGTAACTGATAAATAAATGAAGCAATGAGTGAATGAATGAAGTGTATTCATGGACAAACGAGTGACTGAGTGATGTTTGTTGTGCAGTGAAGCAGTACTCACGCTGACAGTGCACATCTGCTCCATGAAGCACAGGGACACTGTATTTATTAAGACACGTGTCACACTGCTTCCCTGTCAGACCTGCTGCACAATGACACTCTCCTGTGCGAGGGTCACAGCGGCCTCCTCTACACTCACACTCTACAGACCACACACAAATACATCAATAAATTCAACTGATGATGTATCATATTCCATATTCCTGCAGTGTGCATATGTGTGTTTGACTCACTCTTGCAGCCATTAGAGCTGTAGCCCCAGTAACCTGGAGCACACTGGCGGCAGTTCGGTCCATTAACCCCAGGCTGACAGGCACACGTGCCTTTGACAGGGTCACAAGGCAGAACCAATGCCGCTGCTGCATCACAATCACACTTACGGCAACCAGTGCAGGTATCAAAGCCAAATGCCCCATCCTAAACAAAACAAAACAAAAAAAAATTACCATCAACCTCCGAGACGAAACAATAGATAAAGAAAAAACAGACGAGAAAACATACCTCACAGAGGTCACAGTGGGCTCCCACCACACCAGGCTTACAGTGGCACTGTCCCGTGTGAGGGTCACAACGTTCAGTGCCACAAGGAGAACAGTTGCATCCTGGGTAATACAGGTGGGAAATAAGGCAATCATGAGAGTTCTCTGAATACAGGAAATACCATCCAGATTGGATAAATATAATTTTTTCCAATAGTGTATAAATGTGTCTTACGAGTGCAGTTCTTGGCAGTGATGGCATCCCCGTAGAAACCCGGGGCACAGATCTCACAGTGCGGCCCGGCGGAGTTGTGCATGCAGCTCTGACACTCGCCCGTCAAAGGGTGGCAGTCGCTGAACAGCATGTTGGGGTCTGAGTTTCCATTGCAGTTGCACGGCTGGCATGTACTGCCAATCACCATTGGGTTTCCATAGTATCCTGGTGCACATCTGTATTCGGGAAAAAGAAAAGGGGTAATTTTCATTGATATATATAATTTTCTAATTGACAGTAATTACATTTACATTTAATCATTTAGCAGATGCTTTTGTCCAAATTAAATATTTAATTAATTATTTATTTAGTAATTAAATATTTCAATTATTTAATTATTTAATAATTAAATAACTGAATTATTTAATTAATTATTTAATAATAATAATAATAATAATTTTTTGTGTTCATTCATGTATAAATGTATCATGTTTTCATTTAACATAAAAATTATAATTGATAAATTTTTATTATTTAATTACATTTTTATTGCATTTTTATTTATTATTATGGCAAATCATAATACATTTAAAAAATAATACAAATTATTACTGATTAAATAGCAAAAACAATAAGCTTCATAACTTTACCTCTCACACTTAGATCCAGCATAGCCAGGCCTACATAGACACTGCATATGATTGGGCTTCTCCACACAGCGAATGGCAAAACTGATAACAAGATCAAACAGATGACATCCTTTAATTTGAGAATGAGGCATGCTGGGATATCCAGCACTAAAATCAGCTCTTACTGGGAGTAAAAGCAGAAACCAGAAAAGAAACCAGGAAGAAAAAAATACACTGGGACATTACATTTTTTAAGCAAATCAACAGGAGAAAGACTAAGAAAAAAGGTCTGAGATGAACAGGAAATAGTAAATTAGTGGTACAGATGAAGAACTGACTTGTTTGAAGCCACCTGCAGCGGGCAGGGGCAGCTGGAGCAGGACACCGCGTGCCCATCAACAGTGTTGTTCCCATGAAAACCGCCCAGGCACTGCTCACAATGATTTCCAGCGGTATTATGGCGGCAGTTCTGCATATGAAGAGTTACATTTTCAGAAAACACTCTAAATGAATCTCCAAGTTGTGTTCCAACATCCACTCTTGGAACTTTGAGAGGTCTTTCCCAGGATCTTAAATCTTAATTAGATTTACGATTTTGTTTTCCATGAAGTTTGGCATTTTACTATACCCAGTGGAATCTGAAATAGCTATATATTGCCCATGTTTAAGTCTGTTATGTGATTTATACATGACTTAGTGAGATGGACTCACCACACATATGCCAGAGCCATGCAGACACTCGTCAGAGTGACCGTTACAGTTACAAGGGACACACTTCCCGAGGAACAGCCCTTTCGTGTCTCTGTAGTAGCCTGGAGCACATTTCTGAGTGAAGGAGATGAAGAAATTAACATTTTAACATTTTAATATCAGAACCCATTTTGAACAATTCCATTCTTTTAATAATGACTTGTTTTCCATTAATCTGTATTTCTGATTGGATGGGTAAAAAAAGTAATACATAAAAAATACCAAATAATTTTTTTTCCTGTATGTCTTGTATGTGAATTTCTAGTATTCATATACCATTTCCAAAATGTAATTTATAGCACAATTTGCCACACACAGGGTACAGTTTACACAGGGTACTTTTTTTAAAACAATAAAAGCACTTCTTGAGAGAGAAGTTAGGTAAATAGCTATTTAACTTAAAAATGTAACATAAGCGTGTTAAATGTAGCTAGTTTTGTCTAGTAACATCTTTTTATAATTTATAATTGTATAAAAATTAATATAATTATATAAAATTAAAAATACATCAAATAAAAAATGAGTATTTTAGTTGTGTTAAAACCTTGTATTGAAAATTGATCATTTAAATAATGTAAAAATAAATACTATAAAATACTACATTAAAACAAAATGCCCCGAAAGATACAAAATAAAAATTTTTGAAGGTTTGACTGATTCTTTGTTGCTAAATAAATAAATAAATAAATAAACTGGCAACACTTTAGTATAGGGACCCATTCTCACTATTAACTAGTTGCTTACTAGCATGCATATTACTAGCATATTGGCTGTTTATTAGTACTTATGAAGCACATATTTTGCATGATCATATTCTACATCCTTAATCCTACCCAATACCTAAACTTAACAACTACCTTACTAACTATTAATATTGAGTCGTAGTTAATAGTTAGTTAATAGTGGGAACAGGACCTTAAAATAAAGTATGACCAATAACTTTTTAGTGTGTTTAAACCAGTAATGTTCAAACTACTACAATACAGCATCAATACAGAACTTTTCCAGCAACAATATTTTATTCCAGCTTTAATAAGCAGGCAAACCGGTTTATTTATTCAAATTCACACAGAACTTCTAAAGTAAAGAGGCATTAAATTATAGTATAGAAAATTGATTGCATAAAATATGTTTTTGTTAAAGCACACTACCTGACAGGAGTCTCCTAGATAGTGTCCTGGGCAGAGACAAATTTCAACATTGTTTGCATGGCGGCCAGAGGGCAGGTTGTCAGCCCCCTCCAGCACAGCAGCGCGCAGCGACACCGACTGAGCAGACTGAGAGTGCAGCGCTCTGATCTGCAGTGACTCCAGCGCCACCAACACCATCATCAGCTCCTCACGGGACACAGAGTTCCCCGTCTGAGCGTGCCTGAAACTCTCCTGCAATGAGAAAGAGGAAACTTGAATTGTAACAACTGTGCATTTGCAGAATTATTTTGTAAAGACTTTTTTGTCGAGTCTGGCACTAAGTTCTTCACCTCTACCAGGTGAACGATGCCCTCATGAGGGTCTTCAGGAGAGGAATACTCTCTTTCCATGTACACCAGAGTCATCTGATTCCCCTGCACACAAAGACTTTCAGTTAGGCCTCAAGTAAAAACTCCTGGTAAACTTGAGAGAAAGAGACTCTTTGCTCTAGTACCTTGAGTATAACGTCAGGCCGTGTGGACTCAACTATCAGAAAAGCATCACCTCTCATGGTCTGCGTATGCAAGCGGTAGCGCAGATAGCCTCCGTAGGATGACACCTACATGTACACATAGAAAAGAAAACACAAAAACAGCTTAAGACAAGATTTCTCAAGCAACATAAGACTGCACTAAGCCTGCATTCATCAACAACATTTAGCACCAGCCTAAACAAGGTGTGCATGAGTTATCAGATTGTTTGTCTGACCCTCATGTTTCCTGTAGCATTAATGTGAGTTATCTGATGGACATTCAGTTCAGCTGTCCGTCTGGCCCCTTACTGTCTGACCGCCGGCTAACCCATAAGCTCGGTGGAAACATATGTCACAGCAGCTGCCATGTTGTCATAATAAGACTCATATAGGATATAAAGTCTAGGTGTAGAAGATGCTTGTGAATATTATCCCAGATTGCTGTGGACTCACTTTATCGCCGAGGTAAGCACGAGGAGCGTGCCAGTGGAGGTCCTGCGAGACGTCAGGTACGTCACTCAGATCAGCCTCCACCAGATCTTGATCGAGATACGTGGACACGGGAACTTCCTGTCTGTCACTTCTCAGTAGCACCCAGCCAGCCATGTCCATGATCTGTAGGGGTGGCCAGATCAAAGCAAAGACATCAGTTAAATGGTATTGCAGTCAGTAATTACACTGAATTCATTTTCACAGACATCCAGTACACAAATGTTCACTGAAAAGAATGATAACCTGCAGTTCAAGCAAGTCAGATGTTGATTTTGTAACTGCTCTGAGTGATTCAATAAATCCGTTCAGTGAAAGATTTGTAATATGAGGGTCTATTTAATGATATATTAAAGGGAAAGTTGAAAATGAAAATTCTGTCATTAATTACACCCCTCATGTCGTTCCAAACCCGTAAGACCTTCGTTCATCTTCAGAACACAAATTAAGATATTTTTGATGATATCCGAGAGTTTTCTGACCCTGCATAGACAGCAACACAACTACCACATTTAAGGCCCAGAAAGGTAGTAAGGACATCGTTAAAACAGTCCATGTGTCATCAGTGGTTCAACTGTAACATTATGAAAACTTTTCATATGAATACTTTTCGTGTGACTATTATAACGATGTCCTTACTACCTTTCTGGGCCTTGAATGTGTCAGTTGTGTTGCTGTCTATGCAGGGTCAGAGAGCTCTCGGATTTCACCAAAAATATCTTAATTTGTGTTCTGAAGATGAACGAAGGTCTTACGGGTTTGGAACGACATGAGAGTGAGTAATTAATGACAGAATTTTCATTTTATTTTTGGGTGAATTATCCCTTTAAAAGAACCAGCTCATAAGGGTCATCAGTGTGTAATTCAGACTACACTGGTCATGCTGTATGCATGTTTTTGCGTGTAGCCTGTGACAACTCAACAGAAAGTTGGTAAAATATGATTATTGTACTGTGACTGGATATTCAATCCCACACTGGAAGTACCATGATAAAAATATAAAAAATGCATACCAGTTGACAAATCTTTACAGGCATATTTTTGTAACTGGTACATTGCTACAAACTGCAAACATTTTATGGACGGATAAGAATAGGTAAGCTCAAAATCTCACTTTCTATCATATATAAGTGTTCAAAAGTTTGGGTAGAATAAGATGTTTTTTTCAATTTCAAAAAAATGTCAATGCTTTTATTCAACAAGAATCCATTAAATTGATCAAAAGTGGCAGTAAGACATTTATAATGTGTTTACAGTTTCCACAAAAATATGAATCAGCACAACTGTTTTCATCATTGATAATAAGAAATGTTTCTCAAGCAGCAAATCAGCATATTATAATGATTTCTGAAGGATCATGTGACACTGAAGACTGGAGTAATGATGCTGAAAATTCAGCTTTGCATCACAGGAATAAATGACATTTTTAAATATATTAATATAGAAAATTGTTTTAGATTATAATACTATTTCACAATATTACTGTTTTACTATATTTTTTCATCAAATAAATACAGCTTGAGAATAAAAGACTTCTTTCAGAAAACATTCAAAATCGAAAAACTTTTGAACGGTAATGTATATGCGCATATATAAAGGTGAATGATTTCTTTATTTATTAAACAACATCTCTTTATCTTCAGTAGAGTACCTCACTCCTCCGTTTGTCAGAGCTGTGGCAGCGGTCAGTGGCTCCAAAGCAGAAGCACTTGGTGCAGCCTTTAGCATTAGTTGGTTCCAAATGAAACGTTCCCAGTTTGCACTGGTGACAGCGAGAGCCTTCCACATTTTCCTGAGAGAGAGCAGACACATCACTGATATAACAGATGAGGGAGATTCCTGAATGTTGTATTATAACATTACTGTAATATTCACATATAATATGAGGGGGCACCTTGCAGAAACAGCGTCCGGTGATGGAGTGACAGACATCTTTCTCAGTTCCTGCCTCGCTGCAGTCACATGGTCTGCAGTTGGGGTATCCATAAAAACCTGGGGCACACCTGTCACACTGACGGCCAACAATGTTGTTCCTGCACCTGAGGAGGGAGTAATGTGCTTTAGCAGGATGCAAATAACACAAAGTATTAGTGTTGTCAAAAGACCCGGTACTTCGGTACCAAGTCGGTACTAAAAAAATGAAAACGTTACGGTACCAGGATTTTTTAAGTACCGGTGGTACCGAGTACCCGGTCAACCCGGTTCTTGATGCGCTATCCTAAAATTATGAAAAATTATGGATGTCATTTTCATTTCATCTTGCCTGTAATGCCTGCGTCACGAATTTGTGGAGGTTTATTCCTTTTCACTGCATCTCTTATATTTTTAAATGCTGTCTGTGTGAATGGCGCTTCGGCTCTTTGTATTAAGCAATGCATAAATGCATGATGCTGTTTTGTTCATAATTGTTTATGCAATTTACCAAATTATATTTGATTTTTATGAGTTAATTTAGACGTAATGCATGTTTTTTTTTATAGTTACTTCCTTGCGTTGACAATTTATATGCGCTGCATTATTTTGCTCATTGCGCCCTCCTGTGGCCTCGGGAGAAAAGCCAAAAGTTTCCTTAAGACCTATTTAATCTGCATATAAAACATTAGAAGTTAGATATTTGTTTAATTTTTATTTTGTGTTTAATTTGTTAAAACAAACAATATTTGTTGTCTCAATAAATTGGGTTAATTTAAAAATACAGTGGTTAAATGTAAACATTTTTTCTATTGCTCTTTGTTTTAAAAAAGGTTATAAAAAATGTCAATAATTATCGATACTGAACGATATGAAAAATTATATCGTTGATAAATTATTTAGCTATATCGCCCAGCCCTAATTTATATGAATAAATACTACAATAGTATATAAAAATAGTAGAATAACACTGATAGAGAATTAATGATGAAGAAATAATATAGGTATTAGCAGTAAAGGTGCAGCTGGGAAGGAAAACGGATGTCGCCTATACTATATCCTTGAGACATCACGGAGACATCACTGGAAAAAGTGCTTAACTGCCCCCTCAAAAAAAAAAAATGTCCTTGATGGGCCGAAAAGGCAAAAGGCTTCATGTTGTTCATATAATATATATTCTGAATATATATTCAGATTCTTATAAAGTCAACCCCATGAGCCATCTGGAGCAGTTGCACATCTCACACCCCACCAGAGGATGGCATCCAAATGTCTGGGGTTCACAGGTGACACAGTCTGGCTGCAGGGTCCGTGGAGGACAGATGCACTCGCCCGTGACTGGCTCACACAGACGAGTACCACAGTTACATGCTAGAGAGGAAAAAAAAAAAAATCAGCCATCCATCCATCAATCCATCGTTCCACCACGTGGTTGGTGATACTTACATCTACAGTTGGGGAAGCCATAGTATCCCGTGGCACACTGGGAACAGTCTCGGCCAATCACGTTGGGTCTGCACTTGCACTGTCCTCCGAAGGTGTCGCAGGTATCGCTCTCAGCACCCACCTCATGACAGCCGCAGGGCATGGCGCCGTTATTGAAGAACGCAGACAGAGACACAGCAGAGTTACGACAGAACGGAGACGCTGTGGACGGGCTGAGAAGAAAGAGAAAATGTTAAGATGGAAGGCACTTTAATAATGATATATCAGGATATGTTCATGAACAATATATCTGCACCATATTATCAGCCGTATTACAGAATAATTTACTGGAGTTATCCATTGTTGCATATTTAATTGTGTGTCATTTCCATTTTGGCATTTAAGGTTTTTATTAATTATTTATTTAAAAACGTTCTTTTAAAGTTAGTTTTTAAAAGCACTAATAATTCAATAATACTTAAATGTGATCTTTAGCAAATCTCAAATTAAACATCATACTATACATTACAAAATAAATTTTTCAAACATCGTGTTTTGATGTAAACAAATTTACTTGTAGCAGTGCTTTTTAGTATTATTAGTATTTTTTATACAATTATAGTATTCATTAGTAGAATAAATTAGCTTTTATTTTTTTATATTTTCAGTTTTCATTTTAGTTTAAGTTTTAATAATTTTGCTATTTTTTATTTCTATCAAGCTTTAATTTAGTTTTATTTCAGATTTAGTTTTAGTACTTCAACTAGTAGTAGCCAAGGAAACATTTCTAATTTCTAAAAATTTTCATCTACAGGTAATATATATATATATATGTTATTTCAGTTACCGAAAAAGATTTTTAATAGTTTTACTTAAGTAAAAATTATTTTAAAAATTGAAAAATGGTGTGTGTGTGTTTTAAGTGTTTTATTTTTATATTTATTTAGACACAATTGAATTAAATTTTAATATCTGCACTGTATTTACTTATTTATGGCCTTTTTTAGGCCTTAACATGAATATAATTATCACCCAGAATTTTTATCTTGTGCATTCCTACATGTTTACAAATGTATAAGTATCATACTTGATGTAAAAGCTGTTTTGACCACAGTTGCTGATGAAGTCGTAGGATTTGTCCAGTGGCTCCTCAGACAAAAAGCTGGAGCTGTACGTGCTCTCTGGCACCACCAGCACATAGTCCTGAAACACAAAAGAGAAAAAGAAGTGTCATTGTTATTGTCAATTCATATTACCTTCAGTAAAACCTCATAATGACACTCACCAGCCACAGTGTCTTTCTGTCTGGAACACGCAGGGTCAGGATGACCTCATAGTCCGTCACATCCAAGATAATCTGGCTCTCTGACATGACAACACTACGACAACCGTAACCATGGGGACAAAAGGATGCATTGATGTGGCCTGAAATACAAAGAGTGACCATTAATAAACAAGCATGTTCAGTGATAAAAAAAGAAGAAGTGAGTCTGTATTCATCTATTTGCTCACCCTGCCATATGCGTCCTCCGTTGATGTGGACCTGGATGTTGTAAGTTGGGTGCAGGGGCTGATGGTAATGCAGGATGAACACATAACGGCCCAGTGCATGTACACGTGTTGAATACATTACAGCATTCTGGGAAAGGAAGCAGACAAACAAACATCAGAAGTGTGCTTTTTTATTAGCATTTAAATATCAGAAAGAGACAAACTACAAGACATGCACAGATGGATAAATGGAGGGGAAAAGGTTATTTTAAAGGAAGAAACAGTAAGAGATGTTGGACAGCAATGAGAGTTTAATGGGCCTGATGTACCTGATTAGGATCCAGAAGCATGTGTTCACTGTTATCAGCAGCGGTTGGTGGTCTGGAAGTCATTGGTCTGTCTGCATAAAGGCTGGGATCAGGGGCTGAAGCCATAGTTGAGTCCAGCACAGAAGAAGCCTGACCCTCTTTTAAGACCAGAGACTGAGGAGGATTCTGGAAACGAGACGGGATGCAGGAGCCGCTGGACAACAGAGAATATAAAACATGAATATGAATAGGATAAACCCTACTGCGATAAATAACACACAAATATTCTTCACTTTGATACCTAAAATAGCTAAAAATCATGTTAATGTCTGATGATCATGGGTTCTTATAACTGTAAATATGTAGAATCATCAAATGTCCTAATTTAAAAATGTCTGAAAAATAACAATGTGATTTCCAGAAAAGTCAGTGCTTGCAAGGCAGTGAAAGAATTTTGTTTAGGTAAAATGGTAGTTAGAAAGACTGAAAATAAAATAAAATAGTAGAAATGTTTAGAAAAGTTGAAGACCTAACAATAAAAACTAAACTAAACTAAAATAATAATAATAATAAATCTACAAAACAAGTGTTTGATTGTAATGGCGCATGATGCAGCACACAAGACTTAGGCCCCGTTTACACTAGTGCATTTTCGTTTTAAAACGCATAACTTTTGCTACGGTTATGCCTGTCGTTTACAGTACTCCGGCGTTTTCGACCCCGTTTTAGTTTGAAAACTCCGGGGTTGCGTTTCAGTGTAAACGGAGCAAAACTGAGACTTTTGAAAATGATGGCGTGGCTGCCCACATTCTCTCTGCGTATCCTTGACGACCGTGTAAACAATAACATCATGCTCATTGTTGTACCCATAGATATGTATAGGTAGATACCTCATTCGACCGCTCCAAGCACACAGACACGTCCGCCATCTAAATAATAGGGAATCTACCTATATATATCTATGGTTGTACCTGGATGAATGGTCATGTGACATGCGTTTTCGGCTGTGAAGTGTAGACGGAGATCGTTTCTGAAACGCAGTGAAAACGCCAGTGTAGACAAGGATTGTTTTCAAAACACTATTTTAAAACGAAAACGCACTAGTGTAAACAGGGCTTTAGTTGAAGATTTACATGTTGTACGTGTTAGTCACCTGTCTGGAGAGAAGTGCCCATGTGTGTTGATGCAGTGAACTCTGGGCTTCAGGTACTCCATGGTGAACTGAGCGCGAGGGATGAGCAACACTTTGTGCTGGAAGGGAAATCAGACACACACTTGTAAATGGCGTGTTTACAGTGGACACAAATAGCTTTTATGGCAGGTTCAAGCAGAAAAAAAACTCACAAGGAAAAAACTGCTTCTGTCTGTGGTAAGCAGGATATCAGCCTCTGTGGAGAGAGTGAAGACTGCCACACGCTTCTTGTCATCTACAGACACTGCACGGCACAGGAAACTACACACACGAATCAATCAGCAAATGCAGAGTTTGAAGAAAAAGGAAAAAGACCAACTGAAGAATTAAATGGCATTCAAAAGCAATGCTTTTTAAAGAATAAAATTGATGAATATGGCAAAATAACTCATTTAAACCTCATTGTGGTTGTGATGTTACATTAAAACATTAAATATGACTAATTTTAATGTACATGCAAAGAGCCTAACCAATCATAAACAATGTCATGTAAAAGTCTTAAAGGTACAGTGTCAAAAACAGCATGTTTAATTCTATGAGTCAGACAGAGAGAGTGAAAAATGTAAACTAAATATGACTGTTCTGATGCAAAAAGCTTTGACAAACAGCAGGAATAAAGCTCAGTGTAAAAACCAAAGTACATATTATGACCCCTTCAGGTTGAGTGTGAATACCTGAAACAAAAGAAAAGGCAAATGTTGCAATGTCACACAAACACACCTGTATTTGCAGTGGAGCAGGGTTATTTGCTCTTGATGAGTGCTTTCACCCGGTGAATTAACAGACACATTGAAAGTTTGAGGAAACTGATCTTCACTGGCGTACTCGACCACCAACACATACTCTCCAGGAACAGGAACACGACCACGCAGCTGGACGTTCATCTGAACACACAAACAGGATTTCATTTGTATAAAAATATGACTTTTATGTATTTATACACTACTGTTCAAAGGTTTGGGCTTAGTAAGATTTTTTAAATGTTTGGTCACTAAGGCTGCATTCATCAAAATATTGTGAAATATTATTACAATTTAAAATAAATGTTTTCTATTGTAATATAATTTACAATGTCATTAATTCCTGTGATGTCATTACTCTAGTCTTCAGAGTCACATGATCCTTCAGAAATCCTTCTAATATGCTGGTTTGCTGCTCAAGAAACATTTATTATTATTAATGCTGAAAACAGCATCTTACGTCATTGCCGCTGCAGATGGCCATGCTGGGATGGCGGGGAGTGATCTTCTCAGTGTGGCAGGGTCTGGGCAGGTGATTATCAGACCTGCAGTTGGCATCATTGCTGGAGATGGATGGGAACTCATCCAGAGACAGATACATGTACTGCAGACAGCTGAACACACCAAAAGACAGATTAGTTCAGTCACAGTGCATATAACAGGCATACACATGATATATGTACACAAAAAGTTGCTGTGCTACTGACTTTTGACTGGAATCCTGTGTGTTGCTGTATGAACAGGGTTCAGTCACTTGAAGTTGCAGGATAGGAGCCTCGTAATATGCACTGGGCAACAGCACCAGGTAGTCCTGCAGAGAGAAAGAGACAGAGAGAGTGTGTTTAGGGTTTGTTCATGTAGTAATAATGTTGAAAGCATCTTTAAGAGGGGGTCCTACCAGCAGAATGCCCTCCGCCTCAATAATCACAGTCCAGGTTCCTGGGTTCAAGACAAATGGCTCCACAAAACTGTTCTGAGGCACGCTCACAAATGTAGGTTCTGAAGTGGGTGCAAAGACGATCTGCTTGGACTGCTCAGAGCCTGCAAAGAGAAGGATGGAAACCTGTTTTATTGGGGATGGAGTTACAGCATTGGATGAATCAATAAAACTATGACGTTACATATTTATAAATTATTAAACATTATCAACATATCAATTGTTGTACTCAAAGAATAGTTCATTTATAATTAAAAGCTGTCTTCATTTACTCATGAGGACTTTCTTTTTTTTCTGTGAAACACAAAAGGAGAAGTTTAGCAGAATGTCCGAGCTGCTCTTTTCCATACAATGAAAGTAAAATGGGATGGAAGAATTATATTCAAACTCTAAAAACGACATAAAAGCACTAGCAAATTAAAATGGAGTAAAGATTTGATATCTATTAAAACTAATTGGAACTGCTTCCATATGATTAGACTTTATATAACTATTACAGTAGCCAAATCAAACAATAGTGTCTTTATATACAGATGTTGGAAGTAATAGTTTACAAGTCAATGAAATGGCATCATTATAAAATGGGGAAAAAAATGTTTGCTTAGTTTTATACATTATGCATTTTTTAAAATAATTTTTAAATGCGTAAATAACTTAGCTTCTGAAATTTTGTAAATACCAAAACAAGAGGAAAGGGGAATTACTATGCAACAAGTTATATCTGTAGCATATCAAGACATTAAACAGCTTTTGGAGTACAGGAGTAAAGAAGTACAGTTATGGAATAATTTATCAATAGAATTTAAAATATAAACAGAATTAAAAAAAAATAAAAATACAGCTATAAAAAAGCTATTTATTTTGTGTAATCGTTTATTTAGTTAAAAGCTTAATCAGGGACACATGCAGCAAATTAGCTATTATTAGCTAAAATAATCAATATAGAGCATATAGAGCAACATTGTTATTCTCTATTATTCAGTCAAATAAAATTAAAAATAAAACAAGAAAAATAATAAAATAAGGTGAAATTCATATGTCTCGATGAAAATGTTGCCCTTTGCTCTATGTACCAATGGCGTAACCATTATAAGCCATACAGACCGATGCTTGTTTGAGTACAAAAAGAGCAGCTAGAACAGTCTGCTAAATCTCTCCTTTGGGTTCACTGAAAGAATGAAAGTCTTGCACATCGAACCGTCAGACGTACCTCTTCTGCTGTTCTGATAGGCTGTGATTTTACCGTTCGACACGGCCAACCTCGTGTTTACATATCTGAGGATGAAGCGCGTGAGATACACGTCTGCTTCACGCACGTGCACCATCATTTTAACCGTATTCTGAGATGAAGGACAAGGAAGACAAGGAGAAGAGGAGAGAGAGGGAAAGAGGAGGGGAGGGTGTACAGCACATAACACGGTCTGTGTTAAAGACCTGAACTGTGGCTTTCTGATCAAGATGGGTGTGATCATGTGATAGATCTGAGATGCTGGTTGCGGTGAGAGTGTGTCTTGGACACGTGGAGAAGAGGGAGGGTTTGTGAAGAAAGCAGGAAGTCACCAGCTCGGAGAGCAAAGGATTTAAGTGAGGAAGGTAGAAAGATAGAGAAAAGTAGATCATTAAAACAGAGGGTGCTCAAAAACTTACAATTCCCACACAGGAAGTGTCTGCCATCCTCGATCACAGAGACCCGCCCCCTCACGTCCACGCCCCCGCGGTTCACATAGTGCAAGACCACATGAAACAGGTCTGGAGAGCCAACCACCACCTCAACCAGAACCCGAGGCTAGAGAGCAAAAGAACGGCCCACAACAGACAGACACAGACAGAAAGAGAGACAAATGCAAAGCTGTTGCTCAAAACCACCACCAACCAGCACAACAGCCCAACACAGCAGCCAATGAACGCAAGCAGCAGCAATCCAAAGCCGTGATCAAAGCCCTCAGCCAAGCCAAAGACACAGCGCATTTCATTCACACAACGCAACGCTACATCTCAGTCTAATTTTACACACATGCATCAACTTGAACATCGTGAATATCTACAAAATAATGATAATGATAACAACATTTTGAAATAAATGTAACTTTAAAACAGGTCATATTTATTCACAGTTCTATTATAATTAATATGATTATTTTCATAGTATCTTCAACATTAAACAGTATTCATAACCTATTTTGCTTCTGTAATGTGACATATTTCTGAGTGAAAAAGGATATCCAACAAGAAAAAAAACTTAATACACAAATTGCTATAACACATAATACGGAATGATAATAATAATTATGTTATTTTAAGTGTTGTTATAGATTTGATATAGATTTATTATTATTACTATTATAAATATTAACAATATTAATAAGAATTATAATTATTGTTGTTTTTATAATTTTATGATCAGTATTATATATAATACAATTATCAGATTGTTATTATTAGCAATTTGTTAATTTTATTATTATTAACCATTCAATAATGTTGTTGTTTTATAACTTTGTCATCATCATCATTATTATTAATAATAATATTGCCATAAGTATAATAATAATTGTTGTTGTCGTAGTTGTTTATTATTAATATTATATTATTATTATTATTATAACAATTTGTAATTGTTATTATAATTCTAGATGATTATTTTTAAATAGTAGTAATAATAAAAATAATGATTATTAATGTTGATGTTATTATAATTTATAATTAATATTATATATTGTATTATTATTATCATTATCATTAACCATTCAATGATGATGTTGTTACAATTAAAAATATATATTATTATGAATTATTAATAATAATATTAACAACAACAATAATAATTTATAGCAATAATCAATTGTTATTATTACTCTTGTTGTTGTTATTATTGTAGTTTTTTATTATTACTATTACATAATTATTATTCTAACAATTTGTTATTATTATTATTATTTACTATTCAATAATGTAATTTAAAAAATAGATTTCAAGGTGCAAACTTATACGTGTGTTTGTGTACCTGAATGGGAGACATCTGGGCATATCCCCTCCAGCTGAAGCTCTCAAACTCCAGAGGATTGTAACCAAACCTCACTGGACGTCCATCCATGGTGGTGCCTTCCTCCACTTCAAACTTCATATGGTGCAGGTCTGGAAAATAATGATCTGGCCGAGGTCTAAACAAACACACCAGAGTCATGACTGAACCCCACACAAGCTGCACACTGCTACATCTGTATGTGCTTTTTCTTGTCACTCACTGGTTGCATTTGGGTCCCTCCACATTGGGTCTGCATCGACACCGCCCGTGCCTCTCATTACACGCCTGCCCAACAGAGCCTCCAATATCACACTGGCAGCCTAGATGCACAGGGGCGAGAGTTTAACCCATTTCTTCATTTGAGTATTTAGAATGTCTGCTTGGATTTGATTATGTACCTTGGCACCCAAAGTAGTTGTTCTTCTGAAGGTTGAAGTACCCCTCCTTGCACACGTTACATGTGCCGCTGCACACGTTGGGTTTACAGTAACACTGGCCGGTGCTCTGATTCAAAGACAGATGGAGGTTTGTTAACTATGCTCTTGGAATTGAATTTGTAAGATGGAGTTATCACTGATATTTCCATACCTGAGTGCACTCTGCAACCTCACTCATAGTTCCTAATGTATTACAGTCACAGCCTGCAAAATCAATCATAATATACATTAGCAGAGACATATAATGTTTTATTTTCTATACAGCTTAACTAACAAGCTACATATTTGAAAACTGCACTGTCACTAGAGTCTGATTTGCCACCAAAGTGAACAAAATGTCAGTCTTTTGTTTACATGTTGGCCCAATTACTTAAAATGACATTTTGCGCTGTGTGTCCAAACTTTTCTCTTACTTGAGCATCCATAGACTGTATCAGGAGAAAGATTCCAGTAGAGAGGCTTACAGCGATCACACGCCACCCCCTCCACATGAGGCCGACAGTTGCAGGAGCCCTGAGGAATAAAAAAAAAAAAACAAGCACAGAGAGTTTGGAATAGGAATGAAAGTTTGTAAAGACTGTGATTGATCCACATTTACAGCGGTAGTTTAAAAAAATAACAATGTAAAAGATATGAAAAGGTGTGTCTAAACAAAATCTTGACTCTGTCTACTGAATTGCTACATACTGCACACTGTTGTTTCACATAATCTTTTGATACGTTCACGAAATATTCAACATATTATGTGCAGTATATAGTATGATATGCACAATATAACAACATGAATAATTTACAGCACAATATGCATTATCCATTCTGAACGTAGCCATGTTTAATGTAGAAAGCTCAGTTATACTCACCACAGTGGGCAGGATGTCATTATGAACAGAGCCTGCTGGGTTGCAGGTCTCGACTAGAGCACAGAGAGGGAAAGAAAACCATCAGAACTACTTCAAATGAGTGTAATATACAGGAACATGAATATTGTTTAAGTAAGATCACCTAGGCAGAGGGGAAAGCCATATGACCCAGGACTGCAGCTATCACACCTCTGACCCACAATGTTTGGCAGACAAACACACTGACCAGACACTGGATCACAGGAGCTGAAGCGAGAGCCCTCCAATGAACAACGGCATGCTGAAACAGAGAGATTTCAATGTAAAATCACCTGTTACCACATGTAATGTTGGCCTGTGATTAGAGTCATGTGACTTACGTGTGCAGCTGGGATAGGAGTAATATCCGGGTGCACACTGGTCACATTTGGGGCCACTGTAGTTGGGTCTGCAGTTACACTGACCCGACAAGGTACAGCTGGAGTCCAAAGATGTGCGAGGGTCACAAGTGCACACTGGGAAATTGAATCCAAGTAGTTATAATCGAGATGATACAGACAGTGAATCTGCAAACATCAGACTGAGCCTTTCTTTAATGTATTAAATTACTGTGTGTGTGTCTCACCCTGGCAGTTTGGATATGAGTGGAACCCTGAGCGACACTGATCACAGCGAGGACCAGTGAACTCCGGCCTGCACAAACACTTACCGGCTGTGTTGCATATCTCAGGCATAGAGCCCACAACACTGCAACCGCAATCTACAGACAGAGAGAGAAATAAAATTGAATCAAATGTTAATAGTTTCGAAAGTCAACAAGAAATGCTTTTGCAATCCATTATACTTCTGTAATGTGGAAAAGGACATTTAATGAGAATGTTAATGTTCAATATTGACCAACTTGCATAGTAGACACAATTTTACCTGAATGATTCAGAATTTTTAAGCAAATATTTTGAATAAACATTCATTGACTTATAAAAAGTTTTGTTCCTGAATGATTGAGAGTTTTTGAAGAAATAAATTCGGATAGGTGAATGATTCAGTGACTCACTTATAAAGACAGTCCCTTTTTTGTTCCTGAATGAATCAATGTTTTTGAACAAATCTAATTATTTGAGAGAATGATTCAAATGTTTCACTCATAAAGACAGTCACTTGTTTCATTTCAGAATGAATCAGTATTTTTAAATAAATCAGCTGAGTGAACAATTCAAATGACTAATTCATGAAGACAGTCACTTTTTTGTTCCCGAATGAATATTTTTGAACCAATCAGTTGACTAAAAGATTAAATGGCTCTTTTGAGGCAGTCACTTGTTTTGTTTCTGAATGAATCAGTGTTTTTGAACAAATCAGTTAAGTAACAGATTCAGTAACTCATGAAGAATATTTTTGAACCAATCAGTTGACTAAAAGATTAAATGGCTCTTTTGAAGCAGTCACTTGTTTCGTACCTGAATGAAACAATGTTTTTGAAAAAAATCACCTTGGTCGAGTGAATGATTCAATGACTCACTTATCAAGAACAAATTTATTTGGTTGAGAGAATGATTTAGTGAACTCGCTCATGAAGACAGTCACTTGTTTCACTTCAGAACAAATCAGTGTCTTTGAATGAATTGGACAAGTGAACGATTCAAAGGACTCAGTTATACAGACAGTCACTTGTCTCCACCTACTGGTGTAATGATGTAAACTGCAGAAAGAGTCACTGAAAAATCTCCACCACTAATACACACACTTACAGTCTGTTAATGTGCAAACAGACAAGCAGAGTGAAAAGTCACGCCACTTAGCCAATCATATTGGTAATATCAACCAATCAAGTTACTACATTTTATAATGTGCACTGATAAAATCGCAATATTGGTAAAAAAAATCGCAATTAGATTATTTTCCAAAATCGTTCAGCTCTAGTTTGCAATGAGACCAAGCATGTGTGTTAAGAAAGTAAATAGGGTCAATTAAAAATTCAAGTTGACCTTAATCAGAGAAGTAAAAGAACAGAAAACAGTTATTGTGGCTGCACTGTAAAGTTCATGGTTTGGCAGCGCTCATGGGGGATTTTGAAGTTTAGTGAGATTAGAGTTGGCAAGCACTCACATTGGCACAGTGGGTAGTTGAAGTAGCCGGGCGCACACTGCTCGCATGAATAACCCTGAAACCCGCTCCGACACACACACTGGCCCGTTAGTGCATCACAGGACCCATCCAGGCAACCCTGGCCTGAACACTGACAGCCTGGGGGGAAGGGAGAGGAACAAGAATGTGGGCATGTTTGCATTGCCTTTGTCATTGGGTGGTATATTGTGCTCACAAACACTCCAACTATGTGCAAGATCAACAGCAGTTCAGCAGACAGACAAACACTGATGCAACAATCTGCATGTGTTTGCTCAGATGGACCTGTCACCTGCTGCAGTGGATTACACAGAAAAGACAAAAATGGGCAGAATGGGACAGCTGATCTGATCTGGGACTTAACAATGGACAGGCACACAGAATGCATAATGAAATGACAAACAATATACTAACATTAAAGATTCACTGTAATTAACTCAGTGACAATTATAAGAGCCATAAAACTTGCTTACGCTGACAGTTGAGGCCGAAGTGACCAGGAGCGCAGGTGTCACAGTGTTCTCCGGTGAATTCAGGTTTACACAAACATGTATTGGTGCGAGGGTCCGGCCTACAGGAGTTCCCTTCTGTACCAGCAGCGCTGCACTCACAGTCTGCACAACACAAGAACGTAATAAAATGTATGAGAAATCAGTGAATGAGAATAAGAATCAAATCCGATTCAAATAGAGATGAATCAAACTGAATCAAATCAATGTCTTACTAATGATTTCCCCTGCAGGTCTGGCCTCTCCACTGATGTACCTCTCTGACAGAAATAAACACAAGCAACTGTATAATAAACAACGAGAATTTCTTTACACATATATATATACTAAATATTTCTTTGATAGCTGTTTAGAGATAATTATCCACACTGGATGAATTCAACTGAAATATACTGCCTGAAACCTTCATGAATGCTTCAAAGATACACCCACACACAGAGACTTACGGTAGCATTCAGGGAAGCCTTCGTATCCCTCCGCACATGTGTCACAGTTCTCACCGGTGTAGTTGGGTTTACAGTAACAGCGTCCGGTCAGATCCTCACATGTGCCGTCAGTGAACTTAGACTCACACTGACACTCTGCAAAACACATGAGAGAATCAGAGAAAACCAAAACATGCTTCTTCAATATCTACAGATCATTTAAAGGTACGGTAGGCAGTAGTGTTGTCAAAAGACCCGGTACTTCGGTACCAAGTCAGTACTAAAAAAATGAAAACGTTACAGTACCAGGTTTTTTTAAGTACCGGTGGTACCGAGTACCCGGTCAACCCGGTTCTTGATGCGCTATCCGAAAGATGCGCAGATGCACTGATACATGGCGACCTCAAAATGAGGAAACACACCAAACTAACAAAACACTTTAAAGACAGACACCCGGATCAAATGAAAGAGTTCAAGCAGGTAAGTTTCATTTTAATTTTTAATATTTGTGTTTCCCA